GAAGTGTCTGCTTCGGGTTGCAGGAGATGACGGCCAGCCTTCTTGATGAGACCTTTAGCTGAATTTGATTGAATTTGGTCATGTTTGGTCACTGAAACTACGACGAAAGTCAAGACTTTTGTATCTTTTGTCTTCGCAGCTGAAAGTTTTCAAAAGGAGAGAGACTCAGGATCTTCCCTTGCCGGCCTCCATCGAGAGAGAAAGACGATGAAACCAAACTAAGGCGAGGCACTGACAGTCACTGACAACTTGCAGCTACCCGTTTTTTTACCCAGTAAATTGGGACACACCAAAAAGTAAAATCACAAGACATATCAAATTTGATTAGATTCTGATTAGATTCTGATTTGATCGGATTACTGAGGCAGATGGCAACGGCCTCTCACAACATGGCACAATGCGTCACAACATGTGCAGGGCAATTTTGGCTGGCGCCAGGTGTCAAAAGGTTCCGAGAAAAACCACATCGAACTTGCCAGAGCTCGCTCCTCAGCTTCAGCTTCAGTCAGCTGAAGAGTTGGCTTTGTTTTTTGTGTCACTTTGTCAAATTTTGCAACAGTTTGTCAGAGGTTATTTTCGGTTCTTTCAGTTATGTTGCTTTTCTTTGATGTTTTAGAGGGATCTCAACGAAGTCGCTGCCGTGGTCATGAGCCTTCTCTTTGTCGCCTTGGACATTCAACGAGAAAATGATGTTGCGAATGATGATAATTTACAACACATCACAAGCGTACAGAACGTAATAGGTTCTTGGCAACATCACGGGGGGGTCGTTGAGACGAAAGATGCGAAAGTTGAGAAACGATCAAAGTGGTTTTTGATTCTGTCGTCCTCTTTCAGGTCGATAAACCACACAAATGCCCGAGACCCAATACTTCTTGCAAAATTTGCAAATTGAAATCACAGATGTTTTCACATGTCACAAGACGATGAAAGTCTTGCAGCTGGCTTGGAGGACACTTCAGCAAGCTTTGAGCGGCGCCTAGTTTGTGAGAACCGAAGAGAACCGAAGAGAACCGAAGAGAACCCAAGCTCTAAATTTAGAGTGGATTCAACTGGATTTTCATGGTGGTTTTCCGGCCATATGGCATCTTGATGTTCAGCACTTCCCCCAAGGCCAGTTTGTTGGAGCACTGATTGCTTTTGTGGAGCAGTAGCATCGGTAATTCTCCTCGAATCGAGTTGCTTAGCATGGCGAATGGCAATGTCTTGAACATCAGGAAAGTCTCAAAGAAAGTCTCAAAGTCTCATCTCGCCGAGGATTTTGGAAACGATTTGAACGTGTTTGATGTCTCGTTTTTTGGTTCAGTTCGGCGCTTCGGTTTTGGTTCTCCCAGGCCACTGGAAAAGTTCCCCCAGCAGGAAGCCGTCGGTGTGGGCCTCGTGCACAGCCAGTGAAAACCCGTGAAAGATAGATGGAACATTTTATATTTGAATATAGTTATTTAATAGAGTATATTTTTATCCATACACTGTCTCCATCTATCTATGTCTATCTATCTGTCTATGTACTTATTGCAAACATGCAGTTTTCCTGATGCATGTTGCGACATCATTGCAACAACGAACGCAAGACTGTGAGCTGCCTTGTCAGCTTGTGAGTCTTGGAAGATAGTCGACATTGTTCCGTTTTTTTGAAAGGTTGGTTCAATTCCGACAAAGAATCTTGGAGAAGTTCTCCACCATGAAGTCGGCCTTTGAGACGCTGGATCCTTAGAGCAATGAGAAAGCTTTCCCAACTCACAAATTGACTAGAATGGCAGTGGTTTGCTGAAGGAGCTGTGGTTGGTTACAAAGGATCCTTCATTGCCTGTCCAATTTTCTTGCTACATATGTTTCGGATGGTGTCTAGTGCTGCAACATTTTTTTTTGTTTGGTGTTAGACATTGGTTTCGGTAAAACCTGTAAAACTTATTTGACTTTGTTTCTGGGTGATCTGGGCAGGTATGCATCGGAGCATGGTCCCCACGGCGCCACAAAAGAACTCAGCAAGAAGGAGATGCTGAGTTTGGAAGATCAGTTGTGCATAAGCTGTGCAATGCTGTGCAATGTGCACAGTTGTGCTACATGTTGTGCCACATGTGCATATTTGCCATGGTCGAAACTTGGGTAAATTGCCCATGTTGGTGGATGGTCATCAATCCATTAATTGGGATTTGTATTCCCATGACAAGGATTCCCGTCCGTAATGGATGGCCATACCACATATACATACATATACCATGATTTGACCATAGAACATATGCAACTAGATGTCTCTCATTGCCTTCACATGCAGTCCCTGCAGTACACTCTGCAGTACATGGTGCAATGCACGTTTATCATATGTGTTGCTTGACACGCTGAAGACACGTTGAAGACACGTTGCAGCTCGTTCTCTGAACTTTGACGGGTTGGATGCGGTTTGACGCTGTCTGACGCCTTGGACGTAGGAGTTCACACGTTTCTTGGTGCGACACTTTGTCGGTCTCCCAAAGGAGGACCGCTGCTAGGAGAGTTTCTGGTGACACTGCGAAGCACAGCAAAGTTCTGGAAGAGCTGGCAAAGTTCATTTCCTTTTTGATTTTCTCTTGTCATCTCTTGTCATCTCTTGATTTTGTGTCATTCTTGCGTGTTGATTTTTTTAAGCTTCTTGACTTGTGGACAAGCTCGGCTGAAAAAGCTGGTCTATTTCCAACTCTTACACGTGAGTTTTGCCTTACACTTGCTGCTATTTCACAATCTCAAGCGGGGAAGGGGGAGGCGTACACGTGGACACTGCGCTGCTTGGCACTGTATATATTAAAAGAAGAACATGACAGTGGCACTTGTGCTTCAACCCGCTTCAACCTAGAGTCCTGCATCCATTCATTGAGCTGTAGCAGAGCCTTCATTTTTGTTTGCGGTAGGACCTGGTAGGGTAAGGTGGACAGAGGAACAAATTCTAAAGGCACAGCCGTGTGAAGTGCCACGAGGTGTTTGCCAGCTTCGCCACCATGGCGGGGGCATCCGCAGCAAGATCCTGAGTCGTTCGGAGTCGTTCGGAGTCATTCCAAGTCCTGGTCTGCAGCAGGGGCACTGGAGTAGCCTGAGAAGCCTGTGGATGACCATGCTGTTCATCATCTGTTCATCCATGTCTGCAAGCAGAAATTTTGCACTGAGGTTTTTATAATGGACATGAAGGGGAAGGTGATAATCAGTAATGACCTCAGACGTTAAAACTGGCACAGCCGGGTGGAGAGGGACGGCCTTTTCAGGTCGGAATTATAGAGGCGAGGTGCCAATGAACATCACCGAGAGGCAGCATCCTGTCCGATCTTGACAAGCTCCGAAGTTGAGCAATGATAATAACACGAATGACACGAATCGCACGTAATGACATGTAATGACGTAGACGTGGATGGTAGTTGGTTATGCAGAAAAGGCCCAAGACTCTCGTCACCATGCGCTGGTCCTCTTCCATTTCTTACATCTTGTATGCTCTTTGAGGTTCATCCTGTGCGTGTAAATTTCCTAGGCATGTAGATCATTGACGTTAGACTGTGACAAAAGCGAAAGGGAACCTCTAACCTCTTGGGTTGGCAGTCTGCGTAGTGTATTACGATTCTGTCTCAGTCACATGGTCCGAACATGTCGACACATGTCCTAACTACATTCAGTGAAGTTTTTGTCAAGTTCTCATTCTTCGCATCACATCTGGTGTACCTGTGTTGCAGGTTTCAACAGCACGTCATAGACGCTGAGGACGCCACCATCAAGCCAGTTTTCTGTGAGGACTGCCAAACTGTTACATAGCATTCCTGGCCGGCCCTATAATTGACTAATTGACCTCAAAAAAGAATTCTATAAATAAATCAAATCCTATGAATCTATAGATTCCTGTAGAATTGCTTCGCACACTTTCTAGCAAGAGGCCTAGATTGAAGTCAAGTGAAAGCTGCAAGATGCTGCAAGCGAATGATCAGCAAATGAGAGCAAGCTACAGAGCTAATCGGTTAATGTCATCTAATGTCATTCATAATGTCATTCATAATATCATCTAATGTCTTAGTGACTCCTAGTTACTCCTAGTTACTCCTAGTGACTCCTAGTGAGCAGAGGACGGCATCAGTTTTGCCTGGATCCAGCAGCTTGGCAGTCGCCAGAATTGGCAGTACTGATAATACCTCGAAAGAGTCTGCATGCTATTTGTCAGTTTTGCTTTTTATGCTTTTATCTGCTTTTTTGATATTTGTTTTTCCTTCAATCAGAGCTCAGGTACAACAACCTGTACTTGCTAGTCGAAGCCTCGCCATTTGCAGAGATCTTCATGCAATCTCAACATGATGCCCTTTCAGATGCCCTTTCAGCTTTCTGAAGTTTTGACCTGACATCCGTCCTTTGATTTGTCGTAAGGCTGTCACTCAGAGGAACTCAAATGCAACTCTGATTGTGGCCTTTCTCTACCGCTTGGCAGAGGCCCGGGAAGTACTAAAAGCTCGCCAGTAGTATGAGGTAAATGGATGTAAATGGCGCATGACCATGTAGAATGATATACGATGACGTACAAGGAAATATATAGACTTGTTTTATGACACCATGACGGGAACAGTGAACTTAATGAGGAGAGCAAGATGAAAGTCGATGATAATCAACATGGAGCTTGTGCAGTTTGTAGAGCTCGCACAAAGGAAGAGGGTGGATTCAAAGATCTATCAATGCATATCAATTTGATACCAATGCTATCAGATTCTTTCAGATCTCGTTTCAATTGATCCAATATCTTTCAAAAAGGTAAACAGATTCGAGTTTCTTTTAATATTTCCTCACCCGCGATTCGAGGGTCTCAGGGCGAGTCGGCCTCGCAGCGGGCGCAGGTTCTCAGAGATTATTTCAACGAGCTCGAAGAGGAGAGCATAAAGGACCCGGTGACCCATCCATTCCATGCCCATTCCATGCCCATTCCAGGCCCATTCCTTGCCCTAGTCAGCAGTCAGTTGCAATGAGAGGACAACTTTGTCATCACCTATGAGCTTTTAGATGAGATGATGGACAATGGTTACCCTCAGACCACCGAGGCTTGAAATTGGACCGCAGTTTTGGCGTTCACCACTTTTCTTAGGCAGCGATATTCTAGTGTTTCACGCTCAGCCAGGGCAGAAAACTTCTAACCTCAATTCTTGATGAACAATTCATGCCACTGGCCCCTGGTCTTGAGTATCAAGGAGCAAAATTGGCAGTCCTGAAGTGTCATGAAGTGTGTTGAGATCATTGATTTTTGTTTTCTTGCAGCCTGATCATTGCATGTCACACTTCTCTTGTCCACGTTTTCATCTTTTTGTAGATGTCACTAGTTATAAGAGAGCAAGAGCCAGCGGGTGAGTTCCAGGGTGGCCAGGGTGGCCGTTCTCCACGTTTTTATTCAGCTTGTCACTCGGTTTGCAATTCAAGCAGCGCAAGGTCAAGATTCTGCGAGAGTATATCAAGACTCAGTCTCATCAGCATCGGCCTCAGTGAAGCTGAGAGTTTGCTGCTTGGGAAACCAAAGATCCAGCTCAACACAATGAGAAACGTCAAGAAACACAGGATTATTGAAGGGAAACCATTGATTTTGCTCGGAGATTGACATGTACCAATACAGCTCCTGATGTTCCTCATTTTTTGAGCCTTTCTGGAGTTCGGTCCTATCTTGCATGGCCGTTTCAGATGCAAGAATGATCTAAAATCTTTTGGGCAAAGTGCAAAGACAGACTAGAGATGACAAATCAAGGATTGTAAACGTGATGGCAAAACAAAATAGAAAAAAAACAACAGTCCTGTAGCACTGCTTATTTTTGCATCAGCCGCTGGGAGGGCTCTGTAGAGTTCCGCCTGTCCAAGGCTCTCGGTTGAGCAGATGAGACCGCCAACCGCAGTAACCAATGCAGTGACGGGGGCCACAGAACAGTGACAGACAGATACAGAGAATGTTGCTTTTTGTTGCGGACATCTGCTTTTTGTACCAGGATTGTACCATCTTGGGATTCTGCAGATTCATTGTTTCAACTTGAGGACGAGCGATACCGGTGAGTCAGGTCATTGAGAGTTGGTGTTTGTGTCTTGAATGATTAAGGTCCTGGCGATCTGATGGCATCAAACACAAGAAGAACGAGATCTTCCTGGATGTCGCCGCTTCCTTTTGTAACAAGGAGTTCCGCGTCACCCAATCTGATGGCATAGAACATGCTGCTCCATATGATGTGCCCTTGTCAAAGCCTTTCACTATGTGGCCCTGAAGTGGCCCTGAAGTGGCCCTGAAGTGGCCCTGAAGTGGCCCTGAAACATAGCACAGAAGCGTGGCACTGAGTGGCGCTGAGGTCGAACGTTTGAACCTCTTGGTTTCTGCGAACGGCTCTGTGCTGCGATCAGAGATCTTGGGAGCTCTGAAGATGAAGCTGCAGCCTGAGCCGAAGAGTGTACAGGTACAACTGGTACACTTGCTTGGTGTGGATAGGTTAGGGATACATAAGGTGCATAGGTTACATAGAACTGTTCTGCGTTTGGCCCTTTATGTAGTACCTTGTAGTAAGGTGAAGTATATAATACATGCATTTAGTAAAAAACTCATTTGCCACGACGCTCGTTGTGGCTGAAGACGAGGTAAGGAAAGGTGTTGTTTGTCACACCTAGGGTTCAATTGTGTCATGTCTATCTTTCCTGACTTTTCCAACTTCAAAATTTATCTGGCAAGGTCTTACCTTTCTGGAATGCCTGAGCTGAAGCTGGGTCTGAATGACAAGCTTCTGTTTGAGGCTTCATGTGGGAATCGTGCACAAATTGAACACACTGCGAGTCATGAATCAAAGGAACTTAAACTTTTCAAACATTCGTGTCAATTCAGCGAACCCCCACATGGATCACGATGACCAAGTGAAAACAGCACAGCAAAATCTATTTGTGTCAATTGATGTCAAATGTCGTGTATCTGTATGCCGCAAACATAATTGTATATAATGATACTTTGAAATATACATTGTTACATAGTTACATGTTACAGTATTATATACTACAGTATTATGTTGTATCTGCACATCAAATGTGAGATCAGGCAACTGGAAGGCCTGTAGCCAAAGGAAAGTCAGTGGAAATGGAGGTGCAAATTGTGGAGAGAGCCGACTCTTCAGACTTTTCCATTGAGAATTGAGTTCCAATTTTTCCCATCACTGAAAGATGGACATCTAACGAAAATACCAGTGTCTGCAGTGTCTGCAGTGTCTGCAGCTTGCAAGTCTTGCCAGGACATTAAGTTCCACCAGTGTGTGCAGCTTGCACGCTTTGAGAATGATCGGACTATATCTTTCATTCCGTCCAGAACTCAGAGTTAGCCAAGTGTGTTTCAGAAGGCTCGACACAAATGGCACCAACTTTTCTTGAATCGGCAGAGACGTCTTGAATCATCTGCATATTTCATGTCTTCTCCGAAACCCTGCTCCAATTTGAAAGCCCGAGACTAGACAGTTGCTGACAGTTTCTGACAGTTTCTCAGGCCAGATGGTGAGTTTGAGCTCATGAGCTACCGGCTGAACACGCATGTCAAACCTTTGATATGGGTAGAGGCAACAGAGTTTGGCATCTCCTTTTGAACGTGCTGAGTGCATCTGAGTGCAAGAATAGGAGAAAGTTTGGGAAAGCAAACCCTTCTTCTCCTTCTCCTTCTTCTCTTCACTCTTCTCATCTCTTCATGTTTGCTTCGCCGGTGTCAGGCCGTGGTGGATCCAGGTCACTCGCGGTCGCGGATTGAGTCACTTGGTCCGAAGGTGTTGCGTCCAGCATTTTTGTGAGTCTCGGCTTTGCCTTTTGCGATTGCGAAGGTACATGATCAAAGCAAAGTCCCAGTTCAAATCGTCCGGATCCCACTGTATGAGATGTGAGGAGATGTCATGTCGAAATGTGTCCACTTCGCTTTGAGGCGCAGCGTTGCAAACAACGTAGAGATCCACATTCCGGTGCCCTCGGACGTGGACTCGCCATCCTTCAAAACGTCCATTGGCACTGTGAGATATATCCCAGATCAGGCGGCCAACGCTGCAACCCGCTGAGTGTTGGCAGTGCTGCAAGGGATGGTGTTCACTTGTCTGTAGAAGATTGTGGAAGCACCTTTCTTTTGGTTGTATCTGTTCAAAGCAATTCAACAATGGAAAAAGAAACAATGATGTTTACACGGTATATTTATATTATTTTATATTATTTATGCATCGAGGTACATGGTCTAGTGAGGACATTGCCTTGCAATGCGTTTCACATCATTTCACCATGAGTTTCGGAGAGCTCCAGGATTGTATCGTGTGGAGCATCAAGCAGTTTCAGGGTCGGGGGCACAGCTGCAGCGTCCACCTCGATGTCGGAACACAACGACGGAAAGGTCAAAGATGTGGTTTTTTGCACTTTTTAAAATTCACATTACGTCCCTGGTCGACATGATTTCTCACTGTAATGGTTTCCACATTTGCACTTATCTTCTTGGTTCCTCTGCATTCGAACTTGAGAGGTCAAAAAGACTTCATTATGACGGCCAATTTCGGGCTACCATCTGTCGGTGCAGAGAACAGAGATGCCTACATGAAGGACCTGGTTGATGCATTTGATGCATGTGTGTGACAGTCTTGTGCTTTCCCAGTGTGAGTAGATGTCTTGTATTTACTTTGATACTTTGATATACTTTGTCATTCTCATTATAACCAACCAGTGTGGCAACAGTATGCAATAGCCTTTTCTTGTCCCAAGCAACTGCAAGGCGCCCATGTCGGTGAAGTTTGAAATCCCTTACTTTACCGTGTCGGGTGTGACTGTGAGGCAGGGTCAAACCCAGATGAAACGGTGAGAACTTTGACACACCGGGGCATCTGGCTGCCAGGTATCTGAAGATTGTGGAGAAATCCGGTTACCAGGCACTGGCTTAATAGTAATGGAAGACTTACAACATATTTGCCATATTTTGCCATATGTATGTATACATATATTATAAATTATTATAATATGTATAGATGGATGGATGGATGGATAGATAGGTAGATAGATAGGTAGATAGATGGCTGGATTGATGGATGGATGGATGGATAGACAGATGGACAGATGGGTGTTAGGTAGATAGATAGGTGGGTAGGTTCGTAAATAGATAGATAGATGATGATATTGTTTCAGTTGACATGCTGATGTCCTGCTTCCAGAAGCTGTGAATCTGGTTCTTCTTTGAAACGCACGCTACTTATTTGTTTCCTAGGGTAAAACGTCACATAGAGAACTTGTGAGGCGCTCCCTTGGGTGCGATACATCACCCAGAATGGTGACTACCAGCTTCGAATGGCATGGACCTAAATGTGTTTGGAAGTGACGACATATGTGCTTTGCAGGCTCTGCAGTCCTTGAGAACATCAAAGATCCGAGATCCGAGTTCTGGTGATTCCTTGTGAACCGTGTGAGGTGTAAAAGCCACCATGGCTGGTGTCTCAGCTTTTGTTTTATTACGCCCACCCCGAAACACAGACATGAGTGAACAGTCTCCTTTGGCAAAAGCTGAAAAGAACTAACATGAGCTAACATTCCATTATGGTCCTACACACTCTATACATCTCTATATAGTCTTTACATTTTATGACTTTTTGCAAAAATTATCACTTCCATTCTCTCACGACTGCTTTGATGTTCCGTTTCAGGATGCGCCTCACAGTAGCGCTGGCTGCGCTGTGCAGCTGATGTCTCATGTTTCTCATGTTTCTCATGTTGTCTCATGCCAATGCCGCGTGCAGAACTTGGCGCCATGAGGATAATCTTCGAATCGTTCGAAATCACGCCATTTGAGATTGAATTATATTGATAGTTCGGTTGTGCTATAGTCGTCTCTTCCAAGGTCTCTTTTCGTTTCAAATCCCGTACTTATCTATCTTAAAATATCTTTAAGGCTTTGCAGCACACGTTCAGTTCAGAGACCTGTGGATTTCCTTTTGCAAGTACTCAACTCATTGGCGTAAACGAAACGGGACCTTTTGGAAGAAACGCAGTAAAGTCAATCAAGTCAATAAAGTCAATAGACCATGATAGACTCTGATAGACTCTGATAGAGCATTCTTGTTTCAACATGTTTTTGGTTGACAAATTTTATTCAAAGCTGATCCAAAGAGGAGCGTTACATGGCCTCAGTGCAGCTCGAGTTCTTTCGAGCTCAAAAAGTGTCGAGAGCTGTGGATTTGCAGATTTCGACGCCTCGGTGTGCTTCGCACGGCTGCAATTCGCTTGAACGAGCGCTAGCTAATCAGCTTGCAGCTTGCAAAAAGATGCAAAAAGATGCAAAAAGATACGAAGATCAAAGAGGGTCAAAGAGAACTCAGCTTACTTTGTACGATACCTTTGCCTTGGTTCGCATGCTCTTACCATATCTATCCATATCTTACATTATTTTACCTTGCATTGTTTTGTTCAATTCATTTTCCTAAAAAGAGTGAACTTTGAAAGACTAAAGCATTAGTGCTTCCAGGAGCATGGCAAGATTTTTGAGTTTCTTGACCACGACAAGAATGGTCTGGGCCTTGATCAGGGTTTGTCCAGTGACAGGAGTGGCGGCTCCTGCGTTAAATTATGTTAAATGAATATAAATGAATCGCATTGTTAGATGATTTCAAGATCTTCAGAGAACTTCGGCAGGAAGTGGATGCTCAAATATCTCAGATGCTGTTCAAATGGGACTCCATGTAGCCGTGTAGCTGCTATGTAGCTGCTACAACGCAGCTCTACGAGGCTTGGTGTCGTTGGATGAGTTCCACACGGCGATTGAAGCTGCTGCACCCGTGAAATCCCTGGAGGAGAAAGGTTTTCAGAAACACAAAAAACAGGTATGAGAAGAATGGTATATACATGTATATATTGTATACAGTGTAAGTATATATATATATACACATAAGATTAAGCAACTCGTATATGAGGCTTACACGGAGGCTTGAACGGAGGCTTGAACGATGCAATTCGTCAGCTTGGGATGTTTGGAGGACTTACGAAGAAAGTGGGTGGCCTTAGGCTATCCTTCCATGCGCCAGGCCAGCATTGGGCATTCGCAGTGTCTCCAAGTTTTCCGCAACAGCAAAACTTTGCTATGGGGTCTTTAGCCCAAATTAGCTCTGGTGCGATCCGGTGCAGCCTCAACACCAGGTTCTGGGCAAGGTTCCGGAGGGTTCCGGAGGGTTCCGGAGGGTTCCGCAGGGTTCCGGAGGGTTCCGGAGGGTTCCGGAGGGTTCCGGAGCAGATACCTGGTGAGGTTTCGGAGGGTTCCGGTCCAGATACCTGTTGAAGTTCCGGAGGGGCTTCCGGTGTAGATACCAGGTGAGGTTCTGGAGGGTTGAGGTGCAGATACTTGCTGAGGTTCCCTCCGGTGCAGATACCTGGTGAGGTGCGGGAGGGTTCCGGTACGTCCAGATAGCCGGTGAAGTTGCGGAGGGTTCCGGTGCAGGTACTCGGTACGGTTCCAGAAAGTTCAGGTGCAGGTAGCTTGTGAGGTTCCGGACGGTTTCGGTGCAGATACCTGGTGAGGTTTTGGGGGGCTCCGGTGCAGATACCTGTTGAGGTTCCCGTGCAGATAGCCGGTGAGGTTTTTCAGTTCCGGATAGTTCGGGTGCAGATGCTTTGTGAAGTTCCAGAGGGTTCTGATGTTTTTAATAGCATAAGCATTTTTTTTGGGCAGAAGCACTGAAACGCAGTGTATGATGCATTCAAATACTTGTAGATTTACTTTGCAGGAGGGGGTGGGCAGGTAATGGCAAAAAAGAAGTCAGTGCATACATGGTTCGACCAAGCACTGTGCAAACCGAATCAAAATTTCGAAGGAACGAAACGGCAGCGTAAAGACAACAATCTTTTAATTTTTTTTGATACCCCACTCAATCTTAACACATGCGGGCTTGCAGACGATTGACAAATAGACGGCCGACGAAAGTTGAAGAGTCATTTCGAAGCACTACGACATCGTGGGTTGGAAACAGCAGAGGCATGGGTGACAGCGACTCAGTAAAAGATGTACCAGTAAGACGATTGGCGTCGAATCAAAGTACGATTGTATGCAATGCACAAAAACTTTTTCATGGCTAAATGGTGGTTTTGCTTAGTGGCCCGTTTCTCTGTATTTCACACTGACAGTCAGATACTGATGGTGATGATTGTAAATGCAGACAATACGTGTGATCAACGTGCTTTGCGTTGCAACACTGTAGAAAGACAGTTTTATCATGAAGCACAAGTATGAGTATGAGATTAATGTCCAAAACCAATCATTGCAAAAACTAGACCTGCAAAAGACGTTGGCACACGAAAACAACTGACAACACTGAATTCGACGCACAACCTGTTCGATCAAGCGCAGCGCGCACCAAAACAAATGTATGACAAACAACACGGCAAGGCAAAGGGAACAATCTCAGGACAAGCAAGCGTGAGAGCCACTCAACACAACATGGCCGATGAAACCTGCGGCGTCATATTGATCCACTTCTCAAACATCGCAAAGACACAGAACAAAACATCTCAAACACCTCAAACTGTGTAACAATGGGATCTCATACGTGTACTTCATGATGAAACTGACTTTCTAAAGTGCTGTAACCCATCCAAAGAACATTGATCTTACACGTATTGTCTGCATTTACAATCATGAATCATCACCACCAGTATCTGCATGTCAGTGTGTGAAACACAGAGAAACGGGACACTAGGCAAAACCATCATTTAGTAGTTTACCGGAGTGATGGTTGCATCCTTGGTCTCTGCGCCGCTACCCGTGCAGTTTACCGGAGTTTTCGCCCACAATGTCGTGATGTTTGTTTTGTGTTTTTGAGATGTTTTTTTGCGATGTTTGTGCGAAGCGGAAATTGGCATCCAAAACCAACCACTGCAAAAACTAGATCGGCAAAAGACGCTGGCAAACGAAAAAATCTGACAACACTGAATTCGACGCGTACCCTGCTTGATCAAGCGCAGCGCGCGCCCAAACAAATGTATGACAAACAACACGGCAAGGCAAAGGGAACAATCTCAGGACAAGCCGGCGTGAGAACCTTTCAACACGACATGACCGCAAAAACCTGCAGCGTCAGATTGAAACATCACGACATAAAGAAAAGCAAGGACAAAGGCGGGAAAGACTGACCCGCAAAACGTGTTGGCAAACAGCAACAAGTGACAGTGCTGAATTTGACGCATAGTCAAAAGCGGTTCAAGCACGCACAGCGCAAACCAAAGCAAAAATATGAAGGATAACATGGCACGCTATATAGAGCAAAACGACGACCGCAAAGCCTGAAGTGATATATCGAACGGCGAACTGTCACGACAGCGTGGGTTTAGAGAAACGCGACGACAAGGGTGGCATGGACTCAGTGAAGTGGCAATAAACGCAAAACCTGACTCCCAACCATCACCCTGGTAAATTGCACGGGTGACAGGCGCAGGGACCAGGAATCTGACAATCAATCCGCTTCAGTGCACCGGGGGCAGGCGTGCACACCAACATTTTTAAAATTAACTTGGTAAACTGTACCAAGGGCGGGCGCAAAGACCAACAGTTTGAAAATCAATTCGGTTAATTGCACTGGTGGCAGGCGCGGAGAGCAAGGATGCAACTTGATCCAACCATCGCTCTTGTAATTTGCAGGGGTCCGACAATCAACCCGCTCGACTCCGCTGGCAGGCGCGGACACCCGCATTTTGAAAATCAACCTGGTGAACTGCCAGGCGGCAGGCGCAGTGCAGAGACCAAGGATCTAACCATCAGTCTGGTAAACTGCACGGGTGGCAGGCGCAGAGACCAGGGATCTGACAATCAATCTGCTGAACTGCACCGGCAGCAGGCGAAGAGACCAAGGATAGGTACAGCTTTTCATGGGAATGTTTCATATACCTGTGTGCAACATCATTGCATGGTTTTATGTGTATGCTTGTATGCGTATGAATGATTGTATGATTGTATGTGTATGCTTGTATGACAATGTGCGCCTGATGTCATGATGACGATCATAAGACCATTTACGGTTAGTAACAGCGTGTCATCCAACATGATTGCGTTTGTATCAATTCATGTTGGTTGCTTGTCGAAGATCCAAAAGTAATTCTGTTACCAGCAGAAATGAACACATCAACACGTAAGTGCCGTGAGCACTTGCACATTGTATGTGTATAATGCTTTCCAGGGCCCGGATTCATTTACCAGCGTGCAGCACCATTGCGTGGTTGTATGTGTATGATTGTATCTATATGATTGTATGACAATGCGCCTATGATGGTATCATGACGATCACAAGACCATATACAGTTAGTAACAACGTGTAATCCGCAATGATTGCGTATGTATGACTTCATGTTGGTTGTTTGCCGCAGATTCATAAATAATGTTGTCAACAGCAGGGCCGAATTATGAACACAAAGGTGTGCAACGGGAACGCTTGCACATTATGTGTTTGTACTACTTTTCATGGCAATGCGTCACATACCTGTGCAACATCATTGCATGGTTGTATGTGTATGCTTGTATGTGTATAATTGTATCTGTATGATGTATGTGTATGATTGTATGACAATGTGGGCATGATGTCATGATGATGAGCACACGACCATGTACAGTTAGTAATACCGTGTCATCCAACATGACTAAGTTTGTATCAATTCATGTTAGTTGAGATACCGGGTAAAGTTCCGGAGGGTTTCAATGCCAATGCAGATACCTTGCTAGGTTCCGGAGGGTTCCGCTACAGATACCCGTTGCGGTTCTGGAGGGTTCCGGTGCAGATACCTGTTGAGGTTCCTGGCCCTGGTTGTTTTACCATTGTGCAGCATCATTGCATGTTTGTATGTGTATGAGTGTATACAAAGCAAAAATTTGCAAGCTGTTGGGGATAGCACCTGAATTTATTTGTCCTTTTCATCACCTTCAAACCTGCAGATCTCAGTGTGAGGCCCTCCTGAACATGGATCTCAACAAGGATCCGGGTAGGCAGAGCTGCGCGGATTTGACTGTTTTCAGCGTGGGAGCAGAAAGATGGCTTGGTTTACACTTAGTTTACTTGCTTTCTCTCTACACTCGTCGACACTGCTTGCCCTGGATTCTCCCAGTCATTTGCTTTACCCTTTCTCCCTGTGTCTCTGTCTCTGTCTTTGTCGAGGTCCTTCACGGTGCAGGAGTTCGGTTCGCTCTTGACGCGCGTAGGTCTTGAGTCCAGACGCATTCTGAAGGTTTGTTAAAGTCTCTGAACGTCAGATTGATTTAATATGTTTCTCATATTAATGTTTAAACAATGTAATATTGTAATATGGAAATGATAGATATCTCGATCTAAGTCTTTGACAGTAACTTTGCTCAACTCGGTTGCCACAGAGCATGACAAAACTGACAAAACTTCACAGGTGTGGAAGACGAGATCGAACACCAGGCAGGAGAATGCCTTGAAACGCCCGAGGTCCAGAATCAGATGGGCTCCATTTACCATCATAAACCATCATAAACCGCCATAAACCGTCATAAACATGATGATGCTGTACGAAATGCGTGTGTTGAGTCTATTGCATGATGCGATCGGCTGCAAACCATGTGGCCAGAACCTTTTTGCGGCCATCCGTGACCCTCACAGTTGGAACCAGACCGCTGCGTTCTCGGGCTTTGCCAAATTTCGAACATTGTCAAACAACCTATTTGATCTATTTGCTGCTTCAACTTTGATGTCAAGGTTGTAGTGGACAACTAGGGTACGATGGTACGACGCGGTATGATAAGAGTTAGGATCCAATTCCATGAACAACACTCCACAGCCCTATGGCAAGTATCCGCAAAGTGAAGGACTGAACATGTATGCAGCTGTATGCAGCTGTATGGCTGTATGCAAGTGCTACCACATTGCAAGCAAGTGATTGGACGAGACGAACATGGTAGTGTAAGGCAACGTGGATGTTAGTGGATGCAGGCTACCGATTCACCGATTCAGAAATGATTCTCGCTCATTGATTCACGTTGGACTTGCCTCGCTCTGGCTCTCGCTTATCAGGTCACCTTGGAGATGCTCGCTGCAGCGATGAGTGCCATCTCTCCTTCGTTGCTGCTGGAGGAGATTCTGTCGTTGGTCTAGTTATTCTCCATTCATATCAGTTCATATCAGTTCATATCATTTTCTCATTCTATTCTCACTCATTCTCAACAAGTATCATTCAACGTCACTAACATCATTAATGTCACCGTTATTCGTGAGATTTGAGGCTGCATTTAGTGCGGAGACTGAGATCCATGCTGGCTTTGCAGTTCGCAGCAGGACCTGCGGGACAAGATCCTCAAAAAGTTTGGGCAGGATGCTCAATATCACGATCTTTGGCACGACAAAGTAAGACAGATTGATCTAGTCAGCCTTTGCTGCCAAGATTGGACTCCTTGGAATGACTTGGGCAGGTCTTTATCGAACTGTTTTGCCGCACTGGACATGGACCAGGGCGACAAGAACTCAGAAGAACTCAGAACAACTCTGTTTTGCCTCTGTCCATTCTGTCTGCTCACGAGAGATATGTACAGTTGGGGATTAGTAGCTCACACAAGCTGGTCGGCTACTTTTCCTGCACCCGGACTTTTTCTGGTGCGATGTGTGAGAGTGTCCATTCTGTCTGCTGTGACTGCGGAGTCTGTTGAGACCAGCCGTCAGCTGTGACAGTCCGTGACGATTGCCGAGGAGTCCTTGGACATTGGGGAGTTCATTCGATATGCGGTCCCTGCATGGAAGCCTCAAACTTGGATATGTTCAAAAAGTGAAAGTTTTGGAATTTTCATGAATTTTGAAACAACGTTGTTGTGGGAAAAAACGTCGCTCTACCTAGTTCCTTTGCCTAGTTCTTTTGGCTCCCCATCTGAAAACTCGAAATCATTGAAGAGCATGAAAAGTCAGTGGCATATTGCTTCATGCTTCGAGTAGTTTGCCTAGGTTTAAGGGGATAGACAATCATGTCAATATATTTTCAGTATTTTTCATTTGAGTATTTTTCAGTTTGGTTTTGGTCCAGAGAGCAGAGATGCTGCGAGGCTAACAACTCATGAAGCAGCGAAAGCCTTTCGATTGATCGACGTTGATGGTAGCCTGCAAATAAGGCACGACAGTCCAACATGTCATGAGATTGATGTGAGATGATGTGAGAGTCCATGAGCTTGAACTGTAGCGCATCCACAGATACTTTGCAGATCTTTGCAGTATAATCAATTTGAATCTGATGCAGGAGGACGAAGCCACCTTTAAAAAACTGGGGTTGTGTGACTCATGGCAAATGCCGTCAGCTATTCATGAGATGTATACGGTATATACGTGTCTATATGTGTAAATATATGTATATATGCTGCGCAATATGCATACATATATATTTATATACAGACATACATATGAATACATATGACATATGTATAATATGTAGTCGAAAACTTGCTGCTGGGTTTGCTCCCCCGATGCAGTAAAGATGAGTTTGTTACAGCACTCACGCTTTCAGAGTCGTGACCTCAAAGGTGATGCAATTTGTGTCTCTGTCGAGGGGTGGACAAAACAGCGAAGCTAAATTCAGCTTGAAGGAACCATGCAGATATCTGAGATACAAGGAGTACATAGAGACTAATTGCACTAATGGAGTCAGACAAAGTGAACAGGTTGCAGAGCTTTGGAAAAGTCCCACAAGAGCTTGGTGGATTTGTTGATGTCAAGGGTCCCAATGCGGTTCATCGAAAAGTGATTGGCTGATCCAAACAAGTGACAGCTTAAAAAGTGGTTGGAAGGTGGGCAGAACTTGGGTGGAAATGAAGCAAGGGCAGTATATGATTTTTCGATGAGCTCAGGCAAATCATATCCCTACGTTTCCTTTTTGCGCTTTGTGCAAATGTTGCTTCTCGCCTATTTGTCTAGAACCGGCGCACAAAGTCTCCCTTCAGTGTGGTGAGATGTTCTGAGATTCTGAGGAGTTTCTGATCCTTCTGATCCTTCTCCGTCTGAATGCTCTTCTCGTTTCTAGGATTCAGACCGCCTTGTATCTTTCTGCTTTCTGCAAGCTTGCTATAGCTTGCTTGGGCGCTTGTTTGATGTATTTACAATAGATTCAATAGATTGACATCATTTTCTTACGCGCGTTTGATGTAAGTTTTGCGTTCTCTTTCTGAGGCCCAACTTGTACCTTGACGAAATTCGCCGCAAAGTCCGGCAGCGTTTTCGAGGAGCGACAATGTGACAATGCGACAATGTTTGCTTGTATGCATTAGTGTCGCTTTGTGTGCACATGTCGGTATGAAGAGCAAGGGGATGTGCTGTTTATCTCTCCTATAGATGTGCACCTCTTTGTCTTGCGTTCCTACCAAGTATAGCATTCGCCTCTTTTTCCCTGAATTCCTCAGAATTGATGGCTGTGTAGGATTGTCATTTGATGATTTTGGTGAGTGACTGTGATATTCCGACTTGTTAGGTATGCGTGGCTTGCTGAATCCCGAAAACGAGGAGGACCTGGTGGCGGATGAGGTGCAACGGAGTGCATCCGAGCACCGGAGTGGTGGGCTCCATCAGACGAGCGACGAAACCATTGGAGTCTGAGATGAAGTTGAAAACATTTGAAAGTAGACATACGATGACATACATGTAGACATACAGACCCTTTTCAATCAGTGAAGATTAAGAAGTCTCTTTCAACGATTAGTTTCAAGAAGGTCAGAAGTTTGCTGTCTTTCAACATCTTTAATCTATGTTATAAGTTATATGTTAAAAAGTTAAAATATGAACTTCGTGAACTTGAGATGGTTGAGAGTGTGGTTGAGACATGTTGAGACCAGTGACTCTGTGTGACTCAGTGAGATGCCAATTGCCAGTTGGAACAACTGGAACCACCGACCGTGGAGATTGCAGCCTCCAGGCGACCAAGAGTTGAAGTGTTCCGTTGATGTTTCGGCGGTGGGATGTGACCGAGTTGACCGAGTTGTGTTTCGGATGTGACAAAGAGGAAATCAATGTTTCATACGTTTGGAAAAAAGATGAAAGAAGATGAGAAAAGATGAACACTGGGCCAAAACAGAGGCATATTGTCAGACATGGTCAGCCTCCACACGAAAGCTTCCAAAAGCATCACATCAACGCTCCAAATCAACACATCAACTGAATGATGTGATGCTTCCTGGTGTACTTCTATTCATTTCAATGAGGAGAGAACAATGAAAAGAGGCAGCTCAAGAATGTGGAGTGGAAATAGCTTCTGTATTGCTGTGGTCGGTGGAAGGCAACATAGCGAAGAGGGTGAGCTCTCTGAGGAAGCACACAGTGTCTCCCTTCAATCATTGGTTTTACAGTTTCGTGTTTAGAGATGCCTAGAGTCACTCGCCATTTGGTGGCAACTTCAAACAAGATGTGCAAAGGCATGATGCACTAAACGGATCTAAAGCAGGGAAGTTTGCAGTACACTCTAGAAAGTTTGAGAGCAGGTGGCAATGCTAAGCAAACTTTTAACCAATTTTAAATGCTTAAAGACTTAAAGGCCAACTTAGACCGACCCGGACTTCCTGCAATATGATTCAACATGATTCAACAGAATCTCTGGAGGAGAGTTGTGTAATGTTGTGTAATGTCATGTAAATACAGATCTGCTGTGACAATGCAAGTGCCAAGTCCAGTGCCAAGTCAAGTGGGAGTTACTGTAGGAGGCTTGTAACATTGTAGCATCTTGTAGCTAGAGGGGAATCTCCAAGGGGGATGGTGTTTAGGATGTGCCCAGTTCAAGGTTTGAAAAGCTCGCTAACAGCTCGCAAAGTCTTTCCCAATCTTTCCTCTTACGTCAGTGCCTTCACTGCTTGTTAACTTCCGTGACACTGACGCCTGACAGAACCACAGACTTTTGCCCCTTGCATCATTGTGCATCGCAGTGCATCGATATTTCGTTCCGAGCACACAGGCGGACATCGCTGTATCCACGAGCATCTGTTGGCCAGGAGCATAGGGTTAGTGTTGCTATGTTGTAGGAATGAAAGAGCTTGATGATACCTATGATAGCATTTTCAAAAGAAGAAATCAAGGAGTTGAGGCACTGCGCTTGAGTTTGCAAAGATACGCATCTAGAACTTCGGAGGGCCAAACACGCAGAGCACTGCCACAGAATGCCTTTGCTTTCTTTGCTGATAGGAGACAGCAGAAAGCGGTGAAGGACCCTCTCGTTCAGAGTCACACTGGCGAGCTTGCGATGGCATTCTCAATTTGATGTTTCTCAGCATTTGATGCCTCTTCATATCTCTTCATTTGTTCCTGATGAATGGTTCTTTGCAGGTATTTGGTATTCGTATTGCCTTCCTTGATTTGTTTGCGCTCTTTGGCCACTCACATGACTTAAACATCTCTCTGCAGGTCCCGGAAAGCCCTGCACCAAGACGCGATGAATATTAAAAAGGTTACATTATGTGTCGCTTCAACTGTGCTACAGTGCTACGTCACTTTAAAAGCGTGTTGACGTTGCAAGATTGCTTGGGCATGCTTGGGCAATCTCTCGTAGCAAAAAATCTCGACACGACTGTGCTTTCGATGCTTTCGATGCTTTCGATGCTTTGCCTGTGCCCTGCGACCTGGCGAGGCCTCTTGGATCGTCCGCCACTCGGGCATTGGTTTGGACAAGGCTCAAAACTTCTTGAAGGACCTGCGGACCTGCATCGGTGCATCGGTATCGGTTGCACCGTGGACACAACGTGTTGCCGAACGCATTGCTCAATGCGTTGCCCAACATGTTTGTAACGTGCTTAAAAGCCTCTGTGAAAACATAAACCATTAAAATCATTAAACCATTTATTCAACATTGCTCGAACACGCTTCGATGTTTGGATTGCTAGATCCACATTCATTGAAGACTATGTTGATATTATGTTGGCTACGTTTGCCCAAATGTGTGGAAAACTACATCTCTGACCAACTTTGCAGGGCTCTGCTGAAAGTCCATTCTCACTGTCTCTTCACTGGTGTTCTCCTTTGCCTTTGGATACCTAGTCCTCCAATGTCCTCCCATGTCCTCTCTTCATTGAGCGCGGAGGCATTTGCTTTAACAGTTTAACAAAGTGCCTCAGCATTGTCAGTAACACGTCAGCATGTTTAACATTGTTTAACAGTTTAACAAAGTTCGCGAACAGATTCATTGTCATTGCAATATATTGCAATCATTGTGGCATGAAATGTGCAGGACCTGGTGAAGGACCACGAGAAGGACGATGAAGGCAGAGATTTCGAGACGAGAGATTCATGCCTGAGATGCCCCAAAAATGCCTTTTGAAATCTTTTGAATCAGTTCAACGAAGCTTTTAAAGCCGCAAAAATGCGCCAAATAGGGGAAAGCATGTGTGGAAATTTGCTTTGATTCCATGCTGAGAGAATCCTGCTTGCGTTCGTTCCATGTCTACCGTGGCTCTCAAGAGGCAGAATGACTCAGAATGACTCAGAATGACTCTTATGAAAGCGACTCATGAATTCCCGCAGGGCGGACCCCGGAAGAATACCAGGAGTTGTTGAACCAGGACGGGTCAAATCGATTCAAATTGCCCATGGTTTCCGATGAAACATGATGAAACATGACAGTGAGGTATGCACACCTCCGGTCACCACAGATATGATCTGATAGGGCAATAGAAAGGTGCAACCTACTGGTGCGATGGCGATTCTTTATTTATGACAACAAACCCTCCCTTTGGAATGACCATCCTACAATATGTAGTAACTTGATCATGAGACTAAATAATAACTACAATACATACAAATACACATGATCATATTATATAATATATATATAATTACTCGCCTTGTGCATCGTACTAAGAGGATGTTGCAGAGGTGTAAGAATGTGGTGCCATTTTGGCTTAAGCCGTCCGGGGAAGAGCTCGTCCTTCCCTGAGACCCAGCTTTTTCACCTACACACCGGGGGGAAAGGTTACCAATAATTTGAGGGGGGGGGGGGCAATGTCCGGCTCCAGAAATCGTGATGATCAGGGGCTGAGTAAGTTGCCTCCCTCCTTCAAAGGGAACACCTTTAGGAGGGCAGCTCAGCCGCCAAAGAGTCTTCTTGACGTTGGAAAGGCTGAAGGTCCCCCAGTAAGGTCGTCAGATAAGAGAGACTCAACCCCGAGGAGCGCAGAACCTTCGGGAGTCGACGAGGAACTGGGAGCACCAGGCAGTGGTCTTTCCCGCCCTGGCAGCCCATCGTCATTGGAAGATATCACCCCCAGGAAGTTCTGTCTTGGCGCTACTTCCGGTCTAGTTGCGGCAGGCGCTTGGGCCGCTCGACTAGAGGTTGCCAGACTCCTGGAGAGCGGGTGTCACCCAGACCACCTCTTGTCTCTCATACGCAGAGGCGAGGAGGGTTCCACTCCGCTGCGTCTTGACTGGGACGCCAGAGAATGGAGTGAGTGTCCGGACAAGGACAGCGACCAGAGGTCCACTGCTTCAAGGCCGGCTCACGGGCCTTCAGACGACCGGTCTCGGTCACCGCTGAGGTCAGCCTGTGAACCAGGGGAGGCCGAGGAGTTCAAAGAAGTCGAAGATCTTTTTGAAGGTGAAAAAATGGAGGATGTGATCGCAGAACAAGCTGCCATCCTGTCGGAGATTGCCAAGAGCAAGGATGACCCTCCTTGGTTGACTCCGAAGCCATCAGAATCTGGAGGTCCTCCCATTGGAGGTAAGTCAAGTGGTGCAACGGTTCTTCGGATGACCACGAACGAGCAGACCTTTTCCAAGGTAGCTTCACCGCCTCCAAGTGACTTCAAAACCGCTGCTCCGAGGCCTTTTAAACGCCAAGCAGACGCCCCAGTGGCGGGTGAGGAGCTTCCCGATTTTAAACGGAAAGCTGTACCGCCGCCGCAGGGTGTGTTGCCAGAACCCATCAAGGTGCCGCAGAGGCCACCACCTCCTCGCCCTGGGACAGGGGCGTCCGCAAACTCTTTGGGAGCCCGAGAGAAAGAAGACCTGGACAGGTTCGCAAGAGCGGCCGTCGAGATCTACGAGGGCTTGGAAGTCGTTGGCATTCACATGGATCTGAAGAAGTACGTGCGCACCAGCAAGGGGATTGACAAAGAGAAGTTTTTGCTTCACACCGCACCGAACCGAGCATCAACCGGTTTGCGGTATGTGCGAGTGATGAAAGGCATTGTGGAGTGGGTAGAGACCTTTGACCCCATTCCTGAGGAGGAGAGCGTCCCACCCCTCGAGAGACTGAGGTTGGTGGAGTACATTGAGCTCCTCATCCAGAAGGGGGTGGGGTACAACACACCCCAAACGTTGCTTTTCGCCATCGACTTCTTCAGCAAGTCCTTCGGCTTCGATCCGACTGGGGGCGAGTGGAATCGCGCCAAGAGGTTGTCAGTGAAGTATAAAAAATCCAGACCAGGCCTGGCGAACAGGGCACCGCTTTTTGGAAAAGTTACGCTGGCCGCCCTGGAGAAGATTGTTTTGGATGACCTTGCATCCACTCCCCATAGGATAGCGGCAGGAAAACTCAGGCTTTGTTGTCAAGCGTCTATCCGGTATGACGACCTGGTCCACACCCCTCTGAGACACCTGGAATGGGTGCGCCGCAGAGGAGGGACCAGGGTTGTTGGACTGAGAGCCAGGACGACACAAGGCAAGAACAAAGCCAGACCTTGGGTAGCATCGCTCATGGCCACTTGTCGCAGCAGAGATGGCTGGCTGAATACCTTGGTGGATCTGGTGCTGATGACGCACGGTATGTGCTGGCTCGAGGACGACCACTTTGGAAAAGAGGTCACGCGAGACGGCGAAGGCTTCACTAGACTCCCAGCTCGCCTGGAGACAGACGTTTACATAGTCAAGGAGGCTCTCAGGCAGTTCCAACTTACAGGAGGTGACCCCGGTATGACTGACCGGGAGCTAGATCTCCTACGTTGGCATGGGGGCAAAGCCACACTGACCACGCTCATGCAGCACCTAGAGCTGGATCCGAAGATGATCAGACTGGCTGGTGATTGTTCCGCTAAGGAAGACACCATGCCGGATACTTACCTTCGAGAGGCTCAACTCATGGTGCTTAAAGGGCAAGAATCTTGCATGGCCTACCTGAGAGCGGGTGGAGACTTCGGGGGTTTGGTATCTAGTGGTTTGGTAGGTGGTGGACCCCCTCCCGGTGATGGTGAGGTCTCGCGTCCGGCCGATAGCCATGGCGGCGGGGCAGAAGAACGCGGTGCCGAGCCAGAGGGCGCTGAGTCGAAGAAGCTGGCCGAGTTGGCGCGTCAGGCCGGCTTCCTGAGCGAATACCAGGGGGTGGTCGGAAAAGATCTCAACTCCAGCCTTTTTGACCGCGGGCTTGACGAAAAGGGAGAGCCTGTGGATGAGATCGTTGGAGAAGAGAGAGAAAGGGGAGCCATCCCAGAGGAGAAATGGGCTGACCTCCTGGAATCCAACAACCCGGATGAAGACGTCTACGTGGTCTACAACTTCGACATGAGCCCACCTGCGGTGAAGTCGGAACCGACAGACGCCGAGGAGGGCAAAACCACAGGAGTGGGAGAGCTCTCGGAGGGGCTTATGGACGCGGCGAGGCTTGAAGACGACGACAACGACTTGGAGAGCCACACCCTGAGGTTTGTGATGTTGGACAAGCCCACCGCGAGCAGTCGCCTCCACCTGCCATTCGTGGGAGCCTCTTCGGAGCCCTCGGCATTGTTGGTGCCCACACCTCGTTGCGGTGCCAAGGGGAACTACAGCTTCCTGGGCGCAGCAGAGGCGCTGGACCAGTCAACAGAACTATGTCTTCGATGCTTTGGCAGGAGATCTGAGGGAGCATGCAACAGATTGTGCGGAGTGAAGCTCAGAATGGGCGACGATGTGTACAGGTGTGCTAGGCGCTGTTCCACTTCTTGTACAGAATCCGGAGTTCATTTGTGTCACGTGCACGGCTTCTGATGATTTGTTTGGTTTGGAAAAGGATGGACCGCCTCTGAGCATCGTGTGGAGTCTGTTGTTAACTTCCACATGAGTCCAGGGTTCACTCTAGCTAGTGCACGGTTCCTGAAGGGAAATTATTTTAATAGAGCAGTTGAGCAGTGTCGTGTGGAGTCGTTGTTTTTCTGACAGCTCCCACATGAATGCGGGAACTAGGCCTGCCACCCTTGAGGTGACATGACGGCAACTACCGTTGGTGAGTAGTAGCCTTAAGGCCCAAGCCCCGAGAGCCCGTCCCCTGGGATGACATCTCAGGGAGATCTTCCCGCTACGTTGTTGCGTGCAGCTGTGCGCTTCGACGTGGCGGAGAGCGACTTCTTGTTGCTGCAGCACCTTGGGTTCCACTCACTGAACTCCCTGGCTTTTAAGCTTCCGAAGGCGGAGGACCTGGAGAGGTTCCTTGAGGACCACATCCTGGGTTCCAGTGCTTACAAGCAAGGGGACGGTGTTGTGGTGACGTTCCCAAGGCAGCCGCCTGAGCAATGGGCCACTTGGAAGTTGTCGGATGATGCAGCTGCGCTCCGAAGACTTTGGGCCTACGCCAGGGAGACCGCCAAGGGCGAGATCGAGAGGATGAGCAGCGGTGATGAATCTCGCCGCAAGATTACGCTCATCGAGGCCACGGCGATGGAGAATGCTGCTCTGGCCAGGGGCTGCCCAGAGCCAAATAGTGACAAGGAGAGACCTTCCTTGTACACGCTCAACAAACTGGGAAAAGCCTTGCAAAACCCGGGCGCCACATATGACGTCCTCAGCTGGGAGTCCTATCTATCCAAGGAAGAGGAGGACAAACTCACCAGAGAAGGGAAGCTTCCAAAGCACGGGCAAACCGAGCTCATCTTGGGAAGAGACTCCAGAGTGGTTGCCCGGGACCGCATGGATGAGTCCGTCCTAGGAGTGAAGAAGGTGAGTGAAATGGAGACTCTGAGAGCCCGGCTTGACCTCCGTGCTCGCGCCGCTGAGATGATCGATGTGGCGAGGTACACGACCATGAGGTCGTTGTCGGACCGTTACTACTCGAAGTTGAACACCAGCCTGGCAGAAGGGATGCGAGCACCGACACTCAATGAACTCCGACGTTTTGACAGAGAGCTGCAAGTGACGATCTACCGCCACCTCAGTAGAGGACAGGGGAACCTCGAGGACGCCATCAGGTACTACGTGGAGAATGACGGAGACTCACTTTGGAGGCTGTTGGACCCGGTTCTGCGCCAGCTTCCAGATCAGGGCATTGAAGCCGGTGCTGAGCACATGAGCGAGAGCAAGGGGGAGAAGAGAAAGGCTGAGTCTGGCCAGCCTGCCGCCGCATTGCCCGCTCCAGCCAAGGCGCTCATCACCTGCCTGATCTGTAAGAAGAAGCACGAGCCTTTGTGCCCTCTGCCTGATGATTTCCGTCAGAAACAACGGGACAGGAAGAAGGCAAGGCGAGCTGAGAAGCGCGTAGCAAAGGCTAAGGCAAAAGCTGCAGCCTAGGGAGACGGCATCCCCGAATCCGAGCCTACCGGAAAAAGGGGTGAGCCGATACTTGAAGTAGGAATTAGTCTTGCAGATGTTTCACAGCCCCATACCCTTGAAGACTCCGGGAGACCTCGGAAGGTTAGGAGGATAGGGGATCTGAATTCGGTTTCTAATAGTTTCATATCAGCCCACCAAGTGGGCACCCGACCCGGTAGAATTTTTCCCCCATGGGATCTACTGAGAGGACGCTGCGTCTTTAAAGATAGGGAAACACTCCTTTCTGAAGACGAGTCTAGCGAACTTTCCCATTATGCCCCCAACTGTGCCACCTTCAGCCGAGCGAGGGAGATACCGATAAAAGGGGTCAAGTCCTGCCCTCGGCCGCTCAGGAGCGAGTCCCATCCTTATGGCATTCCTTCGGGGGTCGAGGGTATGTCTAAGAGGGGACGTAAACGTCTGGCTGATGACACCGAAATGGCAGATTTTTCAGCCAGACAGTGTTGGGAGAGGGCTGAGAAGGGGAAAGCTTTCACCTTAGAGCACCCAGGTAATTCACTTGCACAGTTTTTGCCAAGCTGGAAACGCCTCATCTCACGCCCTGATGTCTACGTGATCTATTACCACACATGTAGATTCGAGGGCAGTAGGAGAAAGAAGTTTCAGATGCTTATCACCAATAGGAGCTGTTTTGTAGACCGCATAGGAAAACTTTGTGAAGGGAAGTCATGCATGAGAACCCAGAAAGCCCATCTACGTTGGAGACCAACAGTCCATAATGGCCAGGTACTCCAATTCCAGACTGGTGACGAGAGGGAGTACCCGCTGGGCTTCTGCCAGGAGTATGCCAAGGCGGCGGGGCTGGTTCTGGGGGAAGAGGGGATTTTCGTTGAAGTTTTCTCAGGTCCCAACGCGCCGTTGAGTGTCAGCGTTGGAGCAGAGATTGGATGCCCCGTCCCCGGCTGTAAGCTGGAACGTCGGGGAAAAGGGGATAGAATCGAGCTGCAAAACCTGTCTCAACTAGTTGGAGTCGACCCGCTTGCAGCTTTGCGAGCGAGTAACCCTGGCAAGCGAGTTAGGCCGCTTGTGTCGGAACAAGAAGCTTTTTATAGGAGCGCAGCCGTGAGCGCGGCTAGACAGCCCGGATATGGGAAGAGGGAGCAGCTGATTCCAGACGGCATGCAGGACCCCTCAGGCCATATAGAAGCGGCTGTTAAGCTTCATCATCCTTTCTCCCTAGAAGGTTCCATTAAGGTTGACCACAGGGAAGCCTTGCTCAGGATGAAAACGCTGGAAGGCAATGCCTTAAAGGATAGGATGAAGACGTTGGCAGAGTGGAGGACTCTCGCAGCTTCCGAGGAAGTCTTGTCAGTGCAGGCGGTACACGAAACCCAGGCCAGCGATTGCGCCAGGAAGCTAGGGCGCAAGCCCCGCACCGCTCTCATGGAGGTTTTGGGCCTCAAGCATGGGATAGAAGATGAAGCGGTACCAAGGCTCTGCCTCACAGGAATGCCAATAGTTGGTAAGGCCTTGGAGTCTCCGTTCTTTCATCCTTACCACGTTCCAGCGTCGGTGACAGTGGCTGAGCTGCTGAGCTCTTCCCCCCGTAGACGGCCAGGCACCTTGAAAAGGGTGAAGCTTATGGGCCAGGCGGGAGGCGACACCATGGCGAGGGCCATCTGGGAGAAGACCCTCAAAGAAGTTGCGGCAGGTTCTATGGCAGGGCCGTACACCCTGAGTCAGATGGAGGAGAAGCACGGGAGGTACCTGAACATAGTCCCAAGCTTCGGTCTGAAACAGGGTGAGAAGTATCGAAGAATTGACGACCACACGGCTTCGCACAACAACCTTGCCGCAGAAAGGACACAGCAGATACAAATGGCCATGGTTGACTATCTAATGGCCATGGTCTCAGCTATGGGCAGAACCTTTCGAGGTGGCCTATGTATTGGGACAGAAGACATGGCTGGCGCCTACCGGCAAGTCCCTCTGACGGATAGCCAGGTACGGATCTCGGTCACAGCAGTCTACAACCCCGAGCACCGCAGAGTGGACCTGTTCGAAATTTTTGGGCAGCCCTTCGCCAAACTTCTACAGAGTAGCAGAATGGGCCTGCAGGCTGATGGTTCGAGCATACAACGTGATGATCGACCACTTCTTTGATGACTATTTCATTGTGGTGAGGCAGTTAGAGGCCGACGGCACCATGTTCTGCATCAGAGAAGCATTCAAGCTTATTGGACTGGTGCTTGATAACGAGAAGTCCCAGCCGCCAGGAGATTTTTCCCAGGTTTTGGGAGTGGCCTTCAATACCTCATCACTGCGCCAGCAAAGGATCCTCCTAGTCGAGCCTAAACCGACTAGAGTCTCGAACCTCTGTCAAATAGTCGACCGAGTTCTTTCAGAAAACTGTCTCCCTCCCAGCTTAGCTGCAAGTCTCCTGGGGAAATTCGGATTCCTTTGTAGCACTATGTTCGGGAAGGTAGGCAGATGCTGCACTGGCGCCGTCAGAGCAAGACAATATGGGCATCCTGACGAGACGCACCTCACACCTCAGATCCGTACATCTCTTCAGCTCATGAAACTCTTTGCAACAACAGCTCCAAAGAGGGAGATGAAGATTGATGATCATGCTCCCCCCATCATTTTGTACACCGACGCGTCTGATGTACCAAACCGTTCCGAAGGTCGATGGGTTGTTGGAGCAGTGTTGATTGACCCTGTCACCTCGATGATCTCATATACATCGTGGGTAGTTCCACAAAGTGTCATCCACACTTGGCTGCCCAAGGAGACGTACATGAACCAGCTCGAGCTCTTCGCATGTCCGTTGGCCCTGAACACTTGGTCCAGCACCTTGTCAAACCGACAAGTCCTCCTTTTCATCGACAACGACGCTGCTGCCTCTGCCCTAGTCAGAGGATACAGTCCCCGCCAAGACAGCTGCGCGCTGGTGGGAGATTTTTGGTTAGCAGCATCTTCCTCACGCCTATCAGTATATATCGATAGAGTTGAGAGCAAGTCTAACCCTGCTGACGGTCCCAGTCGGCTTGATTTTAACTTAATGCGTCAAATGCAGGCGCAATGGGTTCCACCCAATCCGATATCAGTTTTCGACAAACCCTTTTCATGGTTCGTAGCGCTGTGATGCTCCTTCACATCACAGTCTCATCACCGTTGTGAGCACACAACCACATCACAGGGAAGCAAGGAAGCCCACAACTTTTACATTGGGAAACGGGCTTCCCGTCCTGTGCAAAAGCGGTGAGGGTCTTTTTGTTAGTTGTAGCACGGGCACGTCGCTCACGCCTGAGTAGCTACATTGACTTAAGACCGAGGGTGACGCTTTCCCAACGAACGTTAAAAAGGTGAGGCTGATTGAGCTTGCCAATCTGCACTTTTTTGGAGCATTCTGAAACCTAGCTATATCCTCGCCTTGTGCATCGTACTAAGAGGATGTTGCAGAGGTGTAAGAATGTGGTGCCATTTTGGCTTAAGCCGTCCGGGGAAGAGCTCGTCCTTCCCTGAGACCCAGCTTTTTCACCACACCCACCCACCCCAGGAACGGGGAAACGGGCTTCCCGTCCTGTGAAAAAGCGGTGAGGGTCTTTTTGTTTGTTGTAGCACGGGCACGTCGCTCACGCCTGAGTAGCTACATTGACTTAAGACCGAGGGTGACGCTTTCCCAACGAACGTTAAAAAGGTGAGGCTGATTGAGCTTGCCAATCTGCACTTTTTTGGAGCATTCTGAAACCTAGCTATATCCTCGCCTTGTGCATCGTACTAAGAGGATGTTGCAGAGGTGTAAGAATGTGGTGCCATTTTGGCTTAAGCCGTCCGGGGAAGAGCTCGTCCTTCCCTGAGACCCAGCTTTTTCACCACACCCACCCACCCCAGGAACGGGGAAACGGGCTTCCCGTCCTGTGAAAAAGCGGTGAGGGTCTTTTTGTTTGTTGTAGCACGGGCACGTCGCTCACGCCTGAGTAGCTACATTGACTTAAGACCGAGGGTGACGCTTTCCCAACGAACGTTAAAAAGGTGAGGCTGATTGAGCTTGCCAATCTGCACTTTTTTGGAGCATTCTGAAACCTAGCTATATCCATATGTAAATGTATGCGTGTGTATGTGTATATAGATGTATGAACATATTGTTGCCACTATTATTGCAGTGTTCTGTTCGCTTCCGAAGAGTTCCACTTTAACGAGTTGTAACAGTTTGACGTCGAGGTCCAATTGTCTGAGCAAGACACGAAAGCGCTGTTCAACTTGATGGACGTCAACAGGGATGGCAAGGCCGTGGATAAAACGGTCCACGTCACCTCATGATGCTTAAAGCTTGTGCAGTAGAGGTGAATGGAGGAAGGACAGAACATATGTGAACATGTAAAAAAAGGCGTAAGCGTAAGAACACAAAACAGCATAAGCATGCATTAACGGGGCATGCAATCATTTCAATCATAGGGGTTGGCTGGTGATTGTCAGTTTGTGGATGCCGTGTGGATTGTTAATCTGTCGTGTGCAGTTGTCCACCACGGAGTTCGAACATGGTGTGCGACTTTTTGCACCATCGACAGCGCTAGAGGCTGGATGGGTAGGAAGAGGTGCAGGTGCTATGACGAGTCCGTTGTGCTTATTATGGAGGGTAAAGATAACATTTTTCATGACTTTCATGTAGGACCATGCAGTGCATGCAGTGCCACGGTGATTCACGATTTTGTTAGCCGTGTCCAACTTAGATCAGCCGCGCTGCATGCAGCCGTGTCGTTTCAGACTGGCCAGGATCTGCGCTTGTCCTGCATAACGAGCCTTGGCAAAGACGAAGATCCGTGAAGATCGATGAAGATTAGAGATATTAGAGAGAAATTAGAGTCTTACCAGTCGTACCGCACAAGGCGGTGGCGGAAGTTTCAAAAATAGGAAACCTATAGGAGAGGTTGGTTGTTGTGAGTCACGGATGGCAGAGCAAAGACACTGATGGACCGACAGGTGGTTGAGGACTCCTCTCTTTGTCTCTCTTTGCCTCTCTTTGTCTCTCTTTGTCCTCTCTCTTTGTCTCTCTTTCTCTCTCTTCCTCTCTCTTTCTTTCTCTTTCTCTGACTATCTACCTACCTACCTACCTACCTATCTATCTATCTATCTATCCATCCATCCATCCATCCATCCATCTATCTATCTATCTATCTATCTCTCTGTCTATCTATCTATCTATCTACCTAGCTATCTATCTATCTATCCATCCATCCATCCATCCATCCATCCATCCATCTATCTCTCTCTCTATCTATCTATCTATCTATCTATCGATCCATCCATCCATCCATCCATCCATCCATCCATCCATCCATCTCTCTCTCTCTCTATCGATCGATCGATCGATCGATCTATCTCTCTATCTCTCTATCTCTCTATCTCTCTATCTCTCTATCTCTCTATCTCTCTATCTCTCTATCTCTCTATCTCTCTATCTACCTATCTACCTACCTATCTATCTATCTATCTCTCTCTCTCTCTCTCTGTCTGTCTGTCTATCTATCTATCCATCTGCAGGCTTGGAAACGAAGCGATTCTGCGAGACTGACTCAGTTTTCAAACTTGACAACATCAAAAAAGCAGCAATTCAGCGAGACTTCCTCAATTTTTGCACTTGACAACATCAAAAACGAAGCAATTCTGCGAGACTTCCTCATTTTTTATTGACAACATCAAAAACGAAGCAATTCTGCGATTCAAAAATGGAAAGTTGAGTGCAGAGCTGACGGCCTCGTACCACTGCGTTTTGCGATTTTTCCAGTCCATCTGTCCAACTACTGCGCCTGCCACGAAAAAGTCATGCCAGGTCATTCGGAGTGCTGCACCTGTCACGCAAAATCATGTTCCCCAAACTGAAGATTCAATGCTCCAAAATGCAACCCCTCTCAGGAAATCAGCACGCGGACCTCCTAACAGCTCTGATGAACATGTCTCTTGTACTGCGCCTGCCACGGAAAATGCATCTTTGCAGATCCTCTTCAAATGTCCCACGCCTGCCATCGTTTTTGGAAATGCTACAAAACCCTCACGTTTTGCTCACTTGTGACAAGGTCCACAATCCCTTGCGCCTGCCACACGAAACGACATCTGAACGTCCAAAAGTGGTTCGAGCCCCTCGTTTTTCACATTTTAACTTCGAAATGTGCTTCGCGCCACAACGGCGTGCACTTTTTCGACATCTCAACTTCCAAAAGTGGTCCAAACCCCTGGTGTTTGTAGCATTTTGACTTCGAAATGTGCTTTGCGCCACAACGGCGTACACTTTTTCGACATCGCAACTTCCAAAAGTGGCCCGAGCATGGTGTGTTTTGTACATTTTGACTTTGAAATGTGCTTCGCGCCACAACGGCGTGCACTTTCTCGACATCTCAACTGCCAAAAGTGGTCCGGACCTGGTGTGTTTTATACATTTTGCTTCGCGCCACAATGGCATGTAATTTTTCATCTCTCATCTGGCCAGCTGGCTCCGCACCTGCCGCTTTAGTAAGCTTACTTTTCGACCCTCCGGAGCCACAAAGCATTGGAAAACACCGTGTTTCGCGACTTTCCTACCTTTTCGCGCACCTGCATCTTCTTTCTTCTGACTCCTTCTTCTGACTCCTTCTTCTGACTCCTTCTTCTGACTCCTGCTTCTGACTCCTTCTTCTGACTCCTTCTTCTGACTCCTTCTTCTGACTCCTTCTTCTGACCCGTTCTTCTGACTCCTTCTTCTGACTCCTTCTTCTGACTCCTTCTTCTGACCCGTTCTTCTGACTCCTTCTCTTCTCTGATCTTCTCTCTTCTTCTCTTCTCTTCTCTTCTCTTCTCTTCTCTTCCCTTCCCTTCGCTTCGCTTCGCTTCCCTTCGCTTCGCTTCGCTTCCCTTCGCTTCGCTTCCCTTCGCTTCGCGCTTCGCTTCGCTTCGCTTCTCTTCTCTTCTCTTCTCTTCTCTTCTCTTCTCCACCTCTGCTTTTCATCTGTCCATATTGTCGGAAGTTTGACTTCCAAACTTCCTTCGGTTTGAGGTTAAATTAGAGGCTTATTAGAGGGAAATGAGAGGAAAAGTGTCGGCCCATCCAGTGGACTTGCGTAGGCGGAAAGGCTGCAAGGTGTTGAACCTACTGGCAGAACTTTGTGAGAAGTTGGAGGGCGCTC